ATCATATGTTCTCTCTTCCTCGTACGATCTATAATGACCATCTCCACCCTCTAGAATGAAAACTGTCGCCTATGTTTTAAGTAAACGTTTGAACCCACCACAATCTATTTACCTTCAGTTTCTATGTGATTGAAATCACTCTTACTGCATTTCTAAGTGTTGTTTTTTTGTACCTTATACACTAAAAACATATCACATGAATATTACGACATACTCACTTGTGTGACCTCAATATTTCGCTTCTGTTCATGATAACATTCAGAACTATTTATGAGATAATAACTTGAAATGGTAACAAACTTTCAACTTTATTCATATTTAGTCACTAAGTTTTTTTCGTACTTGATTTATTTCTGAATTATTTAAAATTGTTCACATTTACCCATTGTAAATCGATCATAAGGTAAAATATAAATAATTTCAAATAATTCAAGATAAATAAAACACGAAAAAAAACTTCAATGACTAAGTATATAAAAAACTAAAAGTTCGTTACTATTTCCAGCTACTATCCTTACTTTTACTCACCGTCCCTATAATAAATCTAGTAGAGGAGCACTATATAACCCGCCGTACAAGAAAAGAAAGGAACTGCTCAGAAGCCTCCGGAAAGGGATGAGCAACTTCGGCAACGGCAAAGGGAAGCCAGTTACCGGAGACGACGACGACGACGAAGATGAAGGAAACGAGAGAGACCTCGAAGCATGGGAGAGAGCATACGCAGACGAGAGGTCCTGGGGAATCATTACAAGAAGATGAATCTGGACTCCTCCGGCCAATCGATAACCAAGCTTTACATCACGCTCAGTATCGCCGCCGTCTCCGGTCACTCTCCTCGGCTTCCGCCACCTCACGTATTCAAAAAGGCCTCATTCGATATCTCTACCTTGTCATCGATCTCTCTCGGGTATATAAATCTTCCCATGCTGCATTTCATTAGAAAAAAATGAGATTCACCTTTTCATTAGTTGTCCAAATGTTGATTTTCAACTCCCAAATTGACACGGATTTTGAACTTATGAAGTGATCTGCTACGAATTTCCACAAACAAATCATGCTAGTATTGAATTTACAGCTAAATCCATACCAGTCCCGAATTCAAACAGCTGTTGCTTTGATATCAGCAATGCAATTACGATTCTACTTAGTTCTGGAAACGGAGAAAATCATTAAATGAGCATTTACCTGTTAGGGTTTTAATAAGATTTAGGTCTAGCCTTTTTTTAACCATGTTCTTTCATCTATTAGGGTTTTGATAAGATTTGTCGACTGAGTTAGGTTAATCTGCAAAAATCTTAACACTTTATGTATACTTAACTGCAAATTTAATGAATCCATCACATATATTATTCCTTCTGATCATTTTTGAGATTCACATTCAGTCATTCACTCAATGTTAACATGTAGGCAGCTGGAGAGATGGATTTACGTCCAAGTAGAATGGTGGTGGTTGCTAAACAAGTAGAAGCTTTCATAAGGGAATTCTTTGATCAAAACCCATTAAGTCAAATCGGCTTAATATCTATAAAAAATGGAGTTGCTCAATGTTTAACTGACCTAGGTGGAAGCCCTGAGTCTCATATAAAGGTCTTAATGGGAAAACTGGAGTGTGCAGGTGAAGCTTCTCTACAAAATGCTTTGGAACTTGTACATGAACAGCTTGATCAAATCCCATCATATGGTCATCGGGAAGCTATCATTTTATATTCAGCTCTAAGTACTTGTGATCCAGGAGATGTAATGGAGACTATTCAGAAATGTAAAAACTCCAAGATTAGGTGTTCAGTTATTGGTCTCTCTGCAGAACTTTATATATGCAAGTATTTATGCCAAGAAACTGGAGGGTTATATTCTGTTGCTTTAGATGAGGTGAGGTCAAAAAAGTAATTTCAATTCTTTCAGTCCAAAATATGTGTAAGAAGTTAGGTAAATTACATTTTTGGTCTCTATAGCTGGTTTCTTCAGTTTTGGTCCTCAAATAAGGACCAAAATTGAAAAGACAAAATAGGCTGTATCCAATACCCAGGGACCAAAAATGTAAATTACTTGAAGTTATGTAACATGTATGTTATTTTACAGGCACATTTAAAAGAGCTAATTCTAGAGCATGCACCACCACCTCCGGCCATAGCTGAATTTGCTATAGCCAATTTAATAAAAATGGGATTCCCACAAAGGGCAGCAGAAGGTGTTATCTCCATATGTTCATGTCATAAAGAAGCTAAATTTGGTGGAGGGTATACTTGTCCAAGGTGTAAAGCTCGTGTTTGTGAATTGCCTACTGAATGTCGTATTTGTGGGTTAACCCTTGTTTCATCTCCTCATTTAGCAAGATCTTATCACCATTTATTTCCGGTTACGCCCTTTGATGACGTGGCACCTTTGTTTGTACCCAATCATCGTAGGCCAAAAGCTTGTTTTGGTTGCCAGCAAAGTCTTTTGAATCCTGGTGAGTTAATTCACTTGATTAAAGTGAATTTTGCTTTTTTTTTTTTTTTTCAATTTTAGTCCCTGGGTATAGCTAATTGTTTCAATTTTGGTCCTAAAAGTTTTCTCTTGCAATTTTGGTCTCTCTTTGCAAGTTTTTTTTAATCACTATTCCAAGTAAAATGACTATTTTTGGACCAAATTTGCAAAAATCAGCTATACTCAGGGATCAAAAGTGTCGTTTTACTTAAAACAGAGACCAAAAACGATACAAGAACCTTAAATCAGGACCAAAATTGCAAGAGAAAACTTTTTATGACCAAAATTTGCAAAAATGTAACGTACTCAATTGATTATGTTGTTGAGTAAATTACAATTTTAGTCCCTGACTGTAGCTTATTTTTGCAATTTTGGTTCCAAAAAGTTTTCTATTGACAAAATTGCAAAAATGGTCCCTGTGGTTTGTCGAAAATTGCAAGTTTGGTCCAAAAATTTTTGGAGTTGCACCACTGGTCCAAAATAGGTTTTGGTCCCTACAAAACTTTTAACAGAATAAAAATTTACAAAACTGAAATGTGTTAAAAAGAGGGTTAGGTGGGGGAGGATAAGATTTTTCTTTTATTTTTAATTAGAAAAGAGTGAAGCATTTAAAAAGAAGAGAAAAAACAAATTAAAAGGGCAAATCTGTCATTTTAAGAATTTTTAAAAACATTTGGACCAAAACCACAACAAAAAACCTATTTCGGACCCGTGGTGCAACTCCAAAACTTTTTGGACCAAACTTGGAATTTTCGACAATTCGACAAACCAGAGGGACTATTTTTGCAATTTTGTCATTTCTATTGCACACGTGCTATTTGAGATTCTTGTAATATTTTTGGTCCTTGTTTAAAGTGAAATGATGATTTCTAGTCCTTCAAGTAGGGCTGATTTATGCACTTTTGGTCCCAAAAATAGTCACTTTTGCAAGAGAAAACTTTATGGATCAAAATTGAAAAAATCAGCTATACTCAGGGACAAAAATGTAATTTACTCGAGATAATCAAACCGATGTTGGTATTTATTTGCTATTGTGATGTAGGGAACCTTCCGGGCAGATGTGTGACCTGCCCGAAATGCAAACAGTTCTTTTGTCTTGACTGTGACATATATATTCATGAGAGTTTGCACAACTGCCCGGGTTGTGAGAGCTTAAGAGACTCCAAGTCACTTTCTTAGTTCTTTTTTTTGAGACATTTTTACCCTTAGAACCCCACAAAGAGAGATAAAATTGTCATGTTTATTGGAGGGCAAAAGGGGGCATCAAACTTGTGTTTCTATATATCATGTAACTTTGAAGCATGGTTTTAGATAGGATTTTATCTATATTGTGTACCCTTTAGCTTAAAAAAAATATGATTTTTGATAGGATTTTATTTTTTTGTTTAATCTTATTTGGCTGAGAGATGTCGCCAAGTTCATATAGATATATGGTTTCTTTTTGACTGAATGGACTTAATGGTTAAGCAGTTAATTTGGATAATTAATTATATATGGTTGCTTCTTTTTTAAATCGGGTATCATGGCTTAATGTATTAAGAAAGTAACATCTACTTATTTGCATTTCTTCTTATTTACTCCCAACTCTTATCACGTTATTCATAAATATCTTGATTTTTTTTTTTTTTTTAAATACAATAATAAAATGGTTATTTAGTCTTGTTAACATGGTTTATTCATTATAGAATAACACAAACAATCCCTTGTATTGTTTTTGGAGTCCTTGCAAATTGAAATTGGCACTTGTCATAACAAGTAAAAGTCCGATGGCTTATTTTTGACATTTGAATTTTTGCATATGGTAATAGAATTATTTAGTTAAAATATCTGCAAATATATATTATTAAAAATAACAATGTTTGTTGTCATTAATCAACTATGAAATAATAGTTATTAGACTATTATTTTGAGCTACATTCTCATTATTTTAAACTACATTTGATTTATTTTAAACTACGTGTAATTTCTAGAATAAGATGGTATTATTTATATATATTTTATATTTTATAAAACCGGAAATAAATCTTAACATAAAAACAACTATAAAATTGTCTCTGTCTAGATTAACATCATGAGTGGATGTAGGGTCAATGCATAAGGGACATGAAACTATCACAAGTCAAACTCTTAGCTTTCAACATTTCTTCCAAATTCTTGGGATTGAATCGCCATTCACCTTCTTTTAGCTTTGATATTCTTTATTAAAAATATAAAATCAGTAAAGTAACCATAATATAATGTGTATTTAAAGGAAACAACAAAAAAAAAAATTTTGTTTTAGCAAAATAACCACAAAATCTGAACGATAAATTCGGACAGACGAAAACATTTGAAAATAATACTTCAGATTTCAGACTGAAATTGCAGAAGAAAGTAGTCATTTTTCAAAAACTAAATAATTATGCTCTAATTCTATACATAACAATTTTTTAGTGTTACAATTATGCTCAAATTCTAAATTTGAAAAGACCATAAAAATACACACAAATTACCAAAAATCATTTGAACAACTTCAAACCCACATCCCAAAACCCTTAGAATTGCTTTGCTAAATGAACCAAACATTCAACTATTTCTTGATAATAAGGGTGTGATTTGTCTCTAACAATGAACTCATGAACATTTCCATTAACCTCAATTGAGCTACAACCAGGAGTCTTCTCTACACCTCTTTCCCTCATCAACTTCCTCACCTCCATAGCTTTCTCAAACATCTTTGCTTCCCTATACATATTAGCTAACAACACATAATTCCCACTATCACTAGGATCCAATTCAAGTAGTTTAAAACCCGCTCTTTCACCCATCTCAACATTCCCATGAACTCTACAAGCAAAAAACAATGCTCCCCAAACACCATCATCCGCAACAATTGGCATACTCTTGATCACCTCTTCGGCTTCTTCAAGCAAACCAGCCCTACCCAAAATGTCCACCATACAAGAATAGTGTTTACATTTGGGAGAAACATTGAATTTTGATCTCATTTGTGTGAAAATCTTGCGACCCTCATTCACCAAACCACCATGGCAACAAGCAGAAAGGACACCTACAAATGTCACATCGTCTGGTGTAATGCCAACATTGATCATGTCCCAAAAACATGAAACCGCATCATGAGCATTGCCATGGTAAGCTAGACCAACGATTATGGTTGTCCATGTTTGGGAATTTCGGTTAGGCATTTCATCGAACACTTGGAGTGCTTTTGCTATGTTGCCACATTTAGCATACATATCGACTAGTGCAGTGCCTAAGGCTATGTTTATAGGAAGATGGTGTTTTGTGATGTAATGATGGAGCCAAATTCCAAGATCAAGTGCTCCAAGTTGTGTGCATGCGGATAAGCAATGAACTATAGTCACCCAATCGGGTTTAATCATTGTGGCTTGAAATTCTTGGAATGTTGCTAATGCATCTTTGTAACGTTTGGATTGAATGTAAACACCAATCATGGCATTCCATTGAACAACACCTCTTTCAGGCATTTCATCGAACAGTTTCTTGGCAGCTTCTACATGGCTGTATTTTCCATAACCAACAATCATGGTGGTCCATGACACAATGGTTTTGTTAGCCATTTTATTGAATAAACTTTCTGCAGCTTCTATATTTCCACATTTCACGTACATGTCCATTAAGGTATTGACAAGTGGAATTGTCATCTTTATTTGATTTTGTTCTATATATTGATGAAATTCTTTCCCAAGATTCAAGTTTTCGAGTTGAGCACAAGAAGATATCACCCCTATCATTGTAACCTCATCTGGCTTAATCCCCTCTTTCTTCATCTGATGAAACAATCTCAAGGCCTCCCATGGCTTCCCACTCTTAACATACCCGTTAATGATTGAATTCCAAGACACCAAATCTCTAAGAAAACTTTCATCAAACACCTTCTGTGCATTATCTAATTCCCCACATGACACCAAGAAATGAATAACGGAATTGTTCACATAAATATCAGAATCAAAGCCCAGATGAATAACATGCCCAATAACCCCCAAACCCATCTGAATTGAAGACAATTTGGCACAACATTTAAGCAACAAGGGATATGTGTAATTATCTGGTCGCGATCCTTTGCTTTTTGTCAACATCTCCTTATATAACAAAAGACTTTCTTCCGGTTTTTCGCTCTCATAGTAACCCTGAATCGTTACGTTCAATGAAAACACGTTTACGTTTTGTAAATTGTTCAATATTCTCGTACAATAATCAAGATTTCTTGATTCTGAGATGGCACAAAAGGCAATTAATCGACTTGCAGCTAACCCATCTGAGATTAATCCCGTTATGATCATTTGCGTCTGGATTTGCTTCATTTGGGTCATTGATTTGCATTTTTCTAATAGAGACAACAATGGGTTCGAGAGGACGAACGAGTGAGTAGTGTTCCAGTTGGTTGGTTCTTCTTTTAGAGGCAGTAGAGATCGAGTCTGGAAAGAGAAAGTGAGTAAGAGATTTGGGTGGGGTTTATGAGTAAAATGGAGAAATCGCATGTAGGAGATAATCATCACAATTCATATATAAATTAGGGTTCTTACATCGTAAAATTAAGCCAAATTGAGGGATAACTGCAGCATTATAAGTTATAACGCAAGCTCTTTAGGTGTATAATGTATTGGCGCAGTTTTGTAGAGGGCCACGTCACTGGCTATTTTTTTTTAAATAACTTGATAGGCATATTTTTAGAAATGTATATATTTAATCATTATTCTTTTTTTTCTTGTAAAATAAATCCTTATATTTTATTTTTTATAACAATGCAATCATTGTGACTGGCTATACCGGTATACCGGTCATATACAAATTTTCTTTTAGGAAAAATGACTTGATAAGACAAAATACTTTTTGAAATGTACACATTTAGTCCTTATTTTTTTTTTTGTAAAATAAACCCTTATACTTTATTAATATGTACACATTAGATTATTTTCACCGAATTCTACAGGTTTTGCTGATGTGGAAGCACAAGTACCACTAAATAGCAATTAATTAACTTAGTCACCGGAGGTGGGTGATCCTCCAGCAACAAGAAAAGGGTGGCAACCCTTCTCTTTCTCGTCTCTCTTCCTTCCGGTCGAACAACAACAGCCAAACACCATTTACCTGTTGTGTTTCTCCGATCTATCTCTCTTTGCCTCCATCTTTGAGATATGTTGCCAGAAAAAGAAGAAAGAATCGACGAGGGGGCTACTAAAGCAGCTCCTCGCCGCCAACTACCGTCTCTACTTCCTCCTGCCTCCCCCTTCGACCTTACTGTTTTTACCATCATTCCTCCTTGCTACCAGTGATATGTAGGAACACATAAAGGAGTCGCCGGAGATCGGGGTTCTCCCTCTTTTTCATGATGAATAAAATTTGGAAAAATCTCGTTGTGGATATATGGATACGACCTGGGTATTTCATTTCAACAAAATAAAAGAAAGGGAAAATGACTTGATAGGGTAAGATACTTTTTGAAATCTACACATTTAGTCCTTATTTTTTTTTTTTTTTGTAAAATAAACCCTCCACGTCAGCAAAACCTATAGAATCCGGTGAAAAGGATCTAATGTGTACATATTATTAAAGTAGAGTTTATTTTATAAAGAAAAAAGAATAAGCACTAAATGTGTACATTTCAAAAAATATCTTACTCATTATCCATTTTTTTAACTTAGAAAATGACATTTGTGGAAAGAGAAATTAAACATCTCTTTCTTTTTCTTTTAAAAATTTTCATTTCAAACATATGTCATATTTAATGCTTATTTAATGATATTTAAGTATATACTAAAATGATACATGTAATCATTTAATTGGGTAGGAAAAATTATTGAAACAAAAGTAAGAGAATATTTAATTGCTCTTATGAAAATCGAAAAATAACAAAATGTTCAATCGAGTTCACTTTTTTCCTACGAAAATCATGGACGATGTAATTTCTATGATATTTGTATGGTTTAGATTTAGAAGTAAAAAGGGATATGTAAGTGGATATCTATCTAGAACATTTTGGCTTCATGGAGTAGCATGTTACATGTTCTTCCTCCTAAAAGATATTCAAATTGCAAAGCATATCTTTTTTTTTGAGAATGAAATACCATACTTTCTTATAACTTATTGTTAGTCAAAACTTCCACCAATATTAAAATATGTGTCGAAAGAACATGCTTTATGTATCATCATCACACATGTTTTGTTGGTGTTTTCTTTGACTTACGAGTACAACTTGATTATGTTTTTAGACTTTTAGGTGTATAATGTCATAAAGATTCATACACTTATATATATATATATATATATATATATATATATATATATATATATATATATATATATATATATATATATATATATATATATATATATATATATATATAATATGTTAATGTTCTTCGATTTACCCGCACGTGAAAGGTCATGTTTATCATTTTTATTGTCATATCAATATTTTAAAAAAAAAAAAATTCAATAATCTATTTAATTTTATTAAAGAGATGTTTATAAAAATGACCATGTCCCTAACTTTAGGACACACTAAAAGTAAAAAAGTATATTTCAGAATCAAATTCCGGATTCTTAATTTCAGATTTCACATAGGAAAAAAAATGTATTTCAAAATATCAACTCACTTAGGAGATTATCATGCCACGTACTATGCCATATGGCTACCATATTGCTATTGACTGGGTCTTATTTGCTGACATGACAAACCATGAGAGCATTGGAGAAAGATTAAAGGCCAAAAACCCAAAATAAAAAGGGTTAGTTCTTGACTAAATGAAAAGTATAGGGGTTCGACATGAACGAAATACATACACACATTTCAAAGAAAGCATCCATGTTCTTCATCTTTTATACCTCCATGTGGACCTATTGAATCCTAGTTAGCATCCATTTAATTCTTATCAAAATTGCAACGTGGATTTCCATGATGTAATACAAATTTTATTAATCCTACATTAAATATCTTCGTTAAAGAAAACCGTAACATATATATTTTGTTAAATAAGAAGCAATTGTATGAAATTGCCTTTTAAGGTTTGGGGTTTAGCTATTTCTTTAAATATATAAATAAATTTTAATAAATAAAACATATAATGCCTCATTTATCTCTTTTGATCGATTCATCCTCTTTTAAATATATAGAAAACATTTTATTTTATTTTAATAATTCTACATTCTAATACACAAATACCAAATTCCTCTATTTAAACCTAAAAACGATTAACAATTTTCATGAAAAGAAATACAAATCGACTATAAGAAAATCACATAATATTTCAATCTTTGAATTAGAAACTTTAATGAGAAATAGTCTTTCTTAAACGATTTTTCTTATGAGAAAAATACAAATATAAACATATTTCTAATCATTTTACAAGAATTAGCAGAAAATTACACGATTTCCACTAGTAACCATTCATTCGTAGGAACAATGTGAAATAGGGATGAGTATTACGAAAAGAAGATGCGCGAAAACACTGAAAGTGGAAAACCTCATTAAATCACCATGAAAACTTGTTCAATTTGCTAATTTGTGAGACACACTAATTATTGAAAAAAAAAACTCATGGCATGAGTTTATAAATTCACAAACTTTTTGAAAAACTTTATTTTGAAAAACCTCATTCAATAGTTTTTTGGAATTTCAAAAAAAGAAAGTTTGAAAAGTTCTTAAAAAGCTTTTATTGTAAACGTTCTTAGACGTTTTTAAGATTTGATTTATTATTTGTGCTTGAAATTAGTAAACTAGATTTGGTGTTTATTCTATTGGAAATTTATATATACACACTATATCTATATCTAATATAACCTAAATAATAAATATATAACATATTACTAATAAAACAAAACTAAATATATAAAAGGGTTATATAGGGTAAATTTAGAATCACCCTTGAAAATTTAGCATATAATTCTTACAGGTTTGTACTTGATATAAAGGTACATCAAGTCAGTCTACCCGTTTCTGCACTTAAAGTCTGCAAACTACCAAAAAAAAAAAAAAAAAAAAAACTCCATGCTTCCATATTTGTTGCATTAGCACAAAATAACAACATAAACATATACTCTAAACCACCACCACCGGAAGATTACTCCGGTGAGGACTTAGCGGTATCCACCACCATGGCCGGTGCTTCCTCCAAGCAACTGGTGTCATCACTAATCACACCACCACTCATTAGTTTTTCAACTTCTTCATTCGTATATATATGAATCTTTGTAGCCATTCGTGCAAATTCCCTACATAAAACATTCATATTGTTAAAATTAAATCGATTGTTTTTTATAATTCAAGATTCTTATGTAGTGATTCTTGATAGGATTTAGACTTACTCCCATGGATCATCTCCTACAACCATCATGTCATTCTCTTCATCGGTATATAGCAATCGCCATCCACCATCACGAGTTTTTAACAAACCTTCCATTTGAAATAGTGCCTCTAGCTCCCTAAATAGTTCTTCATAACTTGACATTTTTGAAAGATGAATGGCCCTTCCAACTTTGTTTCCTTGCTTATGAACCTTTGACATGAAAAAAAATAATTCAAACTTGAAGGTTTAATTTGTGCATAAAAAGGTAAAGTTTGATGGATAAAGGTAGTGTTTGGTATGCAGTAATCGTAAAAGGAATGGAATGGAACAGTATGACAAAATGAAAAAATGTTCTTTGCTTGGAACAAAGGAATGGAATGGAGCATTCCTAATGGAATTTGATTCCTTCTCCGGTTCTCATTTTCTTTCCATGATTAAAAGTTGATACAATCTTGAGTTATAATAATATTAAAAAAATTACAAAACTTCAATTGAATTATTTTTTTTTTCTCTATAAATAACTAGTAGATTTTGATTATAGCTCTATCCTAAGATTTCATGGTATTTAATTAAATTTTTGTAAACAACTTTTTGAAGTTATAAATAATTTTTTTACTACATAAAATACGTATAATATACATTTCAAACGACATGAAGTATTTTTTATGAAATTTATTTCTCAATATATGTTATTTGATTAAAGTTTATTTTAGAAAATAGTGTCAAAATTGAAAAAAGTGAAAACTTAGTGTTTTTTGCGACACTTTTTTTCAAATTTGACACGTCAACATGCCATGTCATCAATTTAATTTAAAATTATATTTTAACTATACATAAGAAACGTGTTTAAATGGATTACTTCAATCCTTCAAGCCAACCAACATGATAATGGAATTTAATATTCCATTCCATTCCATTACCTTACTCATTCCATTCCTTTCTAATTCCATTCTATCATACCAAACAAACCTTACCTTAATGCAACTTCTCTTGCTTAAACTTTGAGCATCTGGTGTTGTATTCACTCCATTCAAATGAAAACCAAATAGTTTACAACTACTCCCATTACTATCAGAACCACCATCATCTTTCTCACTTCCCGAATTCGGTTCAACGGTTTTTGGAACTTGAAGTTGTAATTTCAACCCGCTGACATCATCCCTCATAACCCCATTTCCAAAACCCTCACGATTGATAGGGAACCCAGTCATAGGCAACACCGGGGGCAAATTTGGAAAACAAAAGTTCCTACCACCTTCAGAACCAAGCGGATAGAACCCGGGGTTATTTGGTATATTGGTTCTTGGTGGGCCCCAAGAACCGTTTGTTTTTCCAGTTAAAGATCTCATTGAGCAAATTTCTTGACCTTGCAAGACCTTTGGGAATCTATTTTCAGATCCCAAAAAGCCTGAATGATGATGATGATTCCTCATAAGTTCACTCACAATGTTTGTACTTCTTCCTGTTAATAACATTTGATTTGGAGTAAAACCCGTATGCATCGAGGGTTGTACTTGTACGTGTACTCCATGCATTGAGGGTTGTACACCGAAGTTCAACGAGTTGTTTATTGTGCCACCTATATTTTCTTGACCTTGCAAGACCTTAGAGGATCTTGTTGACTCCTCAAAGTCTAAACATCCACCCCATGCTGCATAAAAGAAACAAGTTTATCAAGAAAAGTTTCAAGATTTTAACTTTTTTGAAATTTATAATCAAGAAAGTTGGATACCATTCACGGGGTGTTCAGATGGAGATGAATGAAGATTTGCCCGAAGTTTTTTGAATCTTAGAGAAGGGTGAATGCTTAAAAGTGGGACAGATGCACCCGAAAGATCAATCTCCCATGGAGAGATTCGTTCTTGATTATTGTTACCAACATCTTCATCCCACCTCACCTATTCAAATGGATTTGAAATTTAAAGAACGAATGTATAAAATAATAAAACTAGTGTCTTTATATGAAGTTGAAATGTGAAGTACCATTAGGCATCTCCATTTTGATTTAGACCATTTGTAAGGATCCATGTCACTTACACCGGTCACAGTGCCTCTAAACCTGCAAGAAAATGATCAAAGATTCTTGTTTGAGGAACAACGAACAAATAAACGTGTCATTTTTGTAACATCCCCAAACACACATACCAAAATATTGTCTGCTTCGGGAAACTCGACACTAGGACTTCTCAGGCAGTCACCCATCCTGGTACTGCTCTCGCCTAAGCAGGCTTAACTGTGGAGTTCTGATGGGATCTGCTGTGCTCAATGCCTTAAAACGCGTCTTGGAAAGAGAGTTATTCACAATCTTATAAGAAACATTTTATTCCCCTTTACAGTCGAAGTGGGAGTCAGACTGGTTTTGTACTCCCATCCCACCCCCTAAGGGGGTGGGATGGGAGTACAAAACTAGTCTCACATCAACTGTAAGGAGAATTAAGCATTTCTTATAAGGTTGTGGATAACTCTCCTTCCAAGACGCGTTTTAAGGCAATGAGCACAGTAGATCCCATAAGAACTTCACAGTTAAACGTGCCCAGGCGAGAGTAGTACCAGAATGGATGACTCCTTGGGAAGTCCTTGTTTTCTGGTGTTGAGTTTCCCAAAGCGGACAATATTTTGGTACGTACGTCCGGAGATGTTACAATCTTTGTATCTAAGATACCTTCTTTCAGGAGATTCATCCATACTGAATCTCATTTTGAACCTTGTTCCATTTGTTATCATATTGTTAATGCAGTTCATGTACTTCACATATGGAACAACAAAATCGGCTCGATTAGACCTACATGGGAATTAAAAGTTTAGAGTAGCAAATCATCAAAAAGATATAATCTTTACAAAAATGTTTATCAATCTAATATTTCACCTTGGACTATAGAAAACATCAAAGGTGGTGTTGGTAGATACAGCATTAGCTACAGGGGCAAGAATGTCCATGAAGGAATTTGAGTTGGGCATAATTGTATCTGGAAGGACATTTCTTGGTCTAGTGGCTCTTCGTGTTCCCAACCTTAATTCACCTCCTTCACCCCTAAAATGATTATATAAAATGGATTCATGTAAGCTAAAGAAGTTATAAAGTTTCCCATTTAGCATTTTTGTTCAATTTACAATGTGATTATTTGTTTTAATGGCTAAAGATATTAAAATATTCAAACGAAAAGCAAAAGAAAAAGATAAAATTCTTTCTGGAGACCAAAAGAATAATCTCCAAGTTCTTGTATCCATACACAATACCAACTTAATACATTTTTATGCTTTCCAAATATAATAAAAAATAAAATAAAAAAACCTTTTTTTTCTTATCTAAATTTCAACAAAACAATCCACCGACAAAAGATTTTGGTTTTCCAAATTGGAATCTTGTTTTTTCGTGGTGTCTCCCCAAATTTGCACTTTTCTACTTTTATACTTCTTTTTTAAACCTCTAAATTTATCTTATTAAACCCGAAAAGATGCATAAAATTCTCATTGAATGGTGTAACGATACCTTAGAAAGAGAACTGCATCCCCAGAAACGAGATTCTTCTGGCTTACAAAAATGCTCCACCCTGTTGTAAGCAAATGTCGCCTCGGTTGACCTAAAAACACAAAACCCAATTCCCAAATTTAAAATTCAATGTGTTAAAATCGATAAAAAGTATGGAACTTTTCAAATAAATCGATCGAAATTTAATCGCACACCTCTATAAATGTGTCTAAACTTCCACTCAACTCCATGGAGATCTTTCGCCACTAGTTCTTGGCTTGGCCTTTGCTGTTTATAATCCTGAAATTGAAGTAATTTACGCAATTTAGTTATATAAAGGTTAATTAGATATAAAATTGATCTAATTATGAAAAACCCACAAAAAAAATCACACCAGAGGTGGAAAACAATCTTCAGCGGCTCTTCTGGGTACAGAGAATCCGCCATGGGTGGATGTATCAGATGCTGTTAGTGTTTTGCAGAACATTTGAGGGGTTGATTTCGCAAGTGTCCCACCACCACCTTCTTCTTCCCCTTCTTGCAAATTTTTATCGGTTAACTACAAATCATGATGAACAAATATAGAAAATTTAGCTCAATTTTGAAAGAATTCACTTAAGATAACGAGTACACCTCAATTACCCAAAAAGGAAGCAACAAGGTAATGAAAGATTAAAGGTAAACTTATGGAATTAATTATACCTCTGGAAGTGGGAGAAGAGTAAGTTTTGTATAGATTTCATCATTCTCCTTGTTGGCCTGTTTTTAGAATTGGGTGAAACATCAAAACCAAATGAGTCAAAAATCAAAATTGAGGGAATTGGATAAAGAAAAAGGGGAAATCGGGAAACTTACAAGCAATTGAACATCAACAACTTTGCAAAAGATTTGAGGTTGAAGGCCGAAAGAGGGAACTTCAGTGGATGAGAATTGAATAGATGAATGAGAGGCAATTTGTTCCAAGTGACCTTGTGGGAAATAAACAACCACATTTCCTTTGTTTGGGAGAGTTGTAAGAGGCCCAGCACAAGCATGCCAAAGCTCCATGTAAACCGAAGATTCAAAATTCGGATTTGATGATTTTAAGGACGAATTCGAGGAGTTTGAGGAAGCTGATAAAGACGAATCCCCTCCATTTCCACTCGAATCAACGCTATAAACTTGTTCCCCAGCTTCAATTCCGTTCACTGCATGGTTCAGATCAATTTCCATCGCAAAACCCAAGTTCAATTTTTCAGAAATTTCTCAAAAACAAGTGGTTAATCAGAGAATTTAAGATAAGGGGAGAAACGACGAAGCAAAATCATGCAAGAACACAAATAAATGAGATGGTTTTCTTTATGGTATCCAACAGGATGATGATGAAAGAAAAGGGGAGAAATTTATCAAGATTTGGGAGAATGATTGCCACCCCATTATCGGATTTTGAGAATTGGGTGGGATTGATTTTGAAGAAGGGAGCAAGACATGGACAAATGCAAAGGCAGCACAGAAACCAAAGGGAAAAAAGCCAAACGGGTGGTGTCTTTCTAGCTTTTTAGAGAGAAAGATTACAGTATTTTAGTTGGAGGGAGGGGACAAGGTGAGACCGTACAATGTAACCCACACACTCTTTCTTCTTTTGCTTTAAAATAATTAATTAATTAAAATTTTGTATAGGATATGGGAATTCAATTGAAAGATCCTTATAGGAAGTTTAATAAACAAATTTAGAAAAGTAATGGGTTGTTTTTGGAAATGTTCTCCATTGAAAAGAACTTCTACCAAAAAAGAATTGATTATTGATAAATTCACAGACGTTTGCATAAAAGATGAATTCAATAGAGGATGAAGACACTTCACCAAAAAAGTAAAAGGAGGTTTGGAATTTCCCAATTGAATGCCAACAACATATGCATTAACTCCCCAATTTAATTGCTTGGTGATAAACACTAAAACCAACAACTTCATTATAACTTTTGGGCAAACTTCAAATATAACTTTATTAATATATGTAACTATAAACAGTAAATAGATTGTGTTTTTATTTGGTAGATATATATATATATATATATATATATATATATATATATATATATATATATATATATATATATATATATATATATATATACCCTTAAGGGTATATAAGTTTCGGTACCCAAACTCACTATACTACATCGCTTTGTATCATATATATACATTGTAATTATCCAATGTTTTTATAATTCAACTTCTAACTTGATTTACTACAAGATTTTTATCAATTTCACATTTATATTCCTCTTACATAATTTTCATTTTCAACTATAATATGTATAGCCTAGTAGGTTTTCGGCAAAAAGATGTGATGTAAGAGGAAGATAATAATGAAATTTCGAAAAATTTGAAAGTAAATCAAGTCAAGGGTGGAAGTTTAAGAACATTATAGTGAATATATTAAACAAAATGACGTATTATAATGAATTTGGGTACCTAAGCTTATATACCCTTAAGGGTATATTCATTTTTCCCATATATATATATATATATATATATATATATATATATATATATATATATATATATATATATATATATATATATATATATATATGGGAAAAGTGAATATACCCTTAAGGGTATATAAGCTTAGGTACCCAAACTCACCATAATACGTCATTTTGTTTGATATATTTATTATAATGTTCTTCAACTTCAATCCTTAACTAAATTTACTTTCAAAATTTTCAAAATTACATTATTATCTTCCTCTTACATCATATATTTTTGACGAACATCAATTAGGCTATATATATATTATAGTTGAAAATGAAAATTAAGTAAGAGGAAAATAAATGTGAAATTTATACAAATCTTTGAATGAAATCAAGTTAGAAGTTGAATTATAAGAACATTAGACAATTACAATGTATATATATGATACAAAACGACGTAATATGGTGAGTTTGGGTACCTAAGCTTATATACCCTTAAGGGTATATTCACTTTTCCCTATATATATATATATATATATATATATATATATCGTACGGATGTGTGTGGATAGTATTATTCTATGAAAATTACTAAGAGAATAGATTGTTTGGTAATATGAGTACGTTCCACCTCAAATCAATATCGTTACTAAGAGAATTAGTGAAAAACGATTCACTAATTCTCAATCTTACTGAATACGATTATCAAGAACATATTTTGACAGAATAAGAATCATAAAAAGTCCATAATATCCTTAATAGACGATTTAATTAGTGAAAATATCTAATAATGATACTAGTTATGTGAGGTTGAATGTATTCACATTACCAAACAATAAATTTTCTTAGTCATTTTTACAGAATAACAATGTCCACATGTCTGTATAAGAAATGTTCATTCAAATATGAACCTCTCTCTCTCTCTCTATATATATATATATATATATATATATATATATATATATATATATATATATATATATATATATATATATATATATATATATTGTCTAATATTGTTAATAGGTGTCTCACATGGTTTGTAACCTTTTTACTATTCTTATTTTATCTAATCTCATTCAAAAGTCTAACTTTGGGTTTGCCTGTTGGGCTCCCAAAATTAACATTACTACTTTGACATATATTTTGAAAGAAAGATTAAAGCTTTAGCTCGAGGAAATTGATTGTACATTTTAGGCTGCACGGTGTGGTGCAGTTTGGGACCGCACTTGGCCGCCACCTGGGAACACCGCCCCCTGGGTGCGGTTTCGTGCGGTTCAAATCGCAGTGAGGCAAAAATTGGCCGCGGTTTGTGATTGGCTGCAGATAATTTGACTGTTTTTTAATTGGGTGGGGAGAAATTAAAGTTTTTATTTAATTTTTTTTTTTAAAAATGAAGTGTGGCACCACTCCTTGGGTGTGGCAGGGAAACGCACTTTTGTGGTAAAAATGACGTGGCGCTTACGTGGCAACGAAGGGAGTGCGGTTTCGGTGGCACGACACCCTCCAGTCTTAGAAAGATATGTATGTTGTAGTGGCCAACCTATAACTTTTGTTTTTGATATAATTATACATTTTCATTGTTTTACAACTTGTTTGGTTTACTTAAGTTTGGAACCTAATTTTAACAATAACTATTTAAGATGATTAAACATTTTAGAAATATAATTTAATTAATTCCATCTCATACGAGGGGTATTTCAAGATGAATATTGGACCGACCAATTCAATAGTGTAATTTATGGATCGACGTTATTGAATTAATCTTGAAAAAGATGTGTTGATTTTGTGTTGCCTTTTATCTTTTTTTGTTTGGAAACGGTAAATATATTAATAAGGGGGAGCCTCACCTAGCAAGTAACTAGATGAGGGACCCAAAGCAACATACATAGGAGTATAAAGGATTACAATCCAATAAACGAGGACACTAACCATTCGTCCCAGTTACAAATTACATTTTTACCCCTGTGCTTACACCAATAAAAGATCATAGTTTTGATAGACTCAATCCCCTGAATCAATGAAACTACATCGTTTTGAAACAATCGTTTGTTCCTAATCCGCCACAGATTCCATAACATTCCATAGCATATGATTGTTAGCCGTTTCCTTTTCTTTGGACAGCTACCCCATGCAGAAATAACATGAAGATCTCAGTAGTCCGTAATGAGCTTTGATCAAACATTAATCCACACTAGCTCATAATATTCTCTCTAATTCTGGACGCAAACGGGCAGTCAATGAGAACATGGTCGACACTCTCCTGCTGTCCAATACACGAGCTGCACAACATTGAATTGACCTTAATACCCCTCATCTCCAATACAACAACAATAGGTATTCTACCTTGTGCAGCTTTCCAGATGAAACATAATACCTTAATTGGAACCACTTTGCACCAGTTAATTGTCGTAGGGCCCGAGATGGAGATGGGATGTTTATCTAAGATTTTTCGGACCGAGCTAACAGTATATATACCATCACCTGTTAATTTGCATTTACAATGGTCAACACTCTGGACTAGGCGAATACCTGAGAGGTCATTAGTGAGTGCTTGGACAGTGGACCCTTGACCAAGATCAGGAGGACGAGACTTCCAATTCCATGAGATGGTTGATCCTGAAAGTCTGTCAGCGACTGAACATTTTTTCCTAGATTCCAACTCAAATAGGGAAGGGTATTTGTCTTTTAATTTCACCTACCCTAACCAAGGATCGTACCAGAATAGAGTTTCATTCCCAGCTCCTACCACCGGTTTGAACACGTCATGAACTCCTAATTCGTGCTTCACTAGTTGCTTTTTAATTCCTCCAATGGAACTCCAAACCCTACTGATATTTTGTCTAGATAAATAATCAAAAGGCTTATTTGACAGTTTGTGGACCCCGTATATTAACCGAGCCCAAAGAGAACGTCCCTCATTTTTTAAACGCCACCACCACTTCACAAGTAGCCCGATGTTTAATGCTTCTATTGAGCCCACACCTAGTCCTCCATCACTTTTAGCTGCTAGGACTTTATCCCATGCCACCCAATGTATTTTCCTCTTATCATCACATCCACCCCATAGAAAACTTCTTCTAATTTTTTCCATCTCGTTTAGTATACCTGTCGGGGCCTTAAATAACGATAAATAGTAGGTGGGAAGATTACCAAGGATAGACTTTATTAACGTTAGCCTACCCCCAAAAGAGAGGGGTTTGGCCTTCCAAAGTGATAGTTTGGAATGAAATTTCTTAAGTATGGGCTTCCAATTTTTTTAAGGTTCATGTTGGCTCCCATCGGAACCCCAAGATAATCGAATGGCAGGACTCCAGCAATAAGCTTGCCCAATTCGTTGTTTCTTGCAAGGTGGACCCTATACCAAAAACTCTTGATTTGTGGAAGTTTACCTTGAGGCCCGATGATATATAGAAACACCTAAGTACACGCGCAAGGTTTTTGAGAATAGCTCTGGACCACTCACCCATAAACAACGCATCATCCGCGTAGAATAAGTGAGACATGGTATACGCGCAACAAACATCTAAGTGAGTGTAGTGTCATGTTTAGAAGTACGACAACCGTTGATATGAAACATGGTAATTACAAGAACTACTATTATATTTTTTTGCCGTCTCTTTCTCCCTCTCTACGAATTCTTTACGTATGCAATTCCAAATTTCTAGTTTTCCATGTTTTCAATTAATCGATTTTTTTTATCCGTTTCTTCCCTAATTATCGAAACAAACGATTTTTTACATTATTAAATGTGGTTTTACAGTTTACAACCGTTAGACGCCGTAAATACCTTTAATGACAAGAGTTATATCGTGCGACAATCTTAGGTCAACAAAGTCGATATCATCTAGTTGATTTTTATTTTTTTATTTTTGTTCCATAATTTTAACTTGTGTGCTAATATGACGGTCTTTTATCTATAATTGTATAACCAATTTGATCGATAATTGAAAATAATATTTATAATAATTTTGCATTTATTATTCATAATGAACTGATATTTCACAATATTAATTATCATTCCTTTCTAATTATTATTTGGAATAACATGCTATTTTATCATCATTATTGTTTTTTTTGTTTTTGTTTTTTTTTTTGAAACAGCAAATCTAACCTACTCCTAAACTACACCTTAAATCCACCTATATCCACAACGGGACTTGAACCCTCAACCTCAAGTAGGGAGG